GGGAGCCAAGTAATCTGAAGGCAAGAATGTTGCCCTTTATCAGGTGGCCTTCCTGACCCCTGGGAAAATGCCACTGCCAGTACAGGACCTTCAGAAAGCCATTGGCCTCTGTTCTTGGTAGTGTAGCCATCCTAAGACAGGTGTAACCTCCTTACTTAGAAAGGAAGTGTTCCTGTTTGCTCGAGGGACATCAGCCACAGCTACATGACACGCTGACCCATGGTCGCTCTTTCCTGTTTCATCAGAACTTTGATTTCAGAACCATTTCTGCCAGAGTTGGAGAGGAAAGTGGTGGCTGTGAAGCTGTTCCCAGGCTTAGCATGGAGGTGTGCTCCGGGCTGGCCACAGCAGGCCAGGCCCTGCAAAGCCAATCAAAACAACTCGTGTTGCTTTGAGTTGATGCAAATGGTGCAGCTTGTTTCATGAAAGTTTTGAAGAAGGACCTCCCCTTCTTTGTGACCTGCTAAGTGTAGTCCTTTCTGATCATGCCTTTATATATTGTGTATATTGCTTAATTGGGTTATTCCTGGGGAACAACACTTCCTAGCACTTCTTTCTAGATCTACAATCCCACATTTGGACCTATTGACATATTGTAGGTCATAGGTGGTCTTTGAGTGGTGGTGGTTTTTGCAACCATAAGCAATAATCAGTAGGTACTGTTCCCTTTCCTTAGATCAGAACAGTATTCTTACTTTGGGCACGTGAAGAAGATTCCGCTGGTGACCCTTTGCTCTAATCTGATTCATGGGAAATCAGAGCTCCAAGTATCAGAGATAAGAATAGGCTGGTCTCTGTGAGGTTTGGTGGAAACTTTTTTAGGGTGGCACACAGAAATCCAGATCTTACCAGTCTTAGAAATCTAATGTGTAGTTTGATTAAAAGTAAATATCCAAGAACCAGACCATTATTCTAGATTTTAAACAGTTAAGACTTTTCATTTTTCTTAACTCATTTAGTTATTAAAGCATATTAGTTCATACACTTAAGGCACATTACTATATCTTCTGCTACCTGTCAAATCCCTGAGTGCTGTATTCCAGGAAAAAGAGCAGAACCTGAAAAAAAATGAGCCAGTTTGATTTGTTCAAAAATCTACAGGAGAGAAATCCTGCGTTTTGATAATAAAGGTTGATTTTCTTTTTTGTAGGTGTTGTCCCTTTGTGGGATGGGGTTTGCGTGAAAGCTAGAAAAACCTTTTTAAACCAAACCTATAGCACATTGACTCACCTGGTTCTGTGGTAGGAAGTCTGGAACTGTACGACATACCATGAATGTAGTTGCTTGTTTCAGTCCTTAAACCATGTAGGAATTTTTGGGCAGCAATATAGTCTTCAGTGTGTTGTTACTTCTCTTCTGGTTATTCTGTACCATTTACAAGCCTTTATTTCTATGCAGTAGAATAGCAGCTTCATAAAATTCTGGCGTATTTTTCCCTACGTAATACTACCGTACTCATAAAGACAGACAGTTTGCCAGAAGTCACTGAAATAGAAATGGAGTCCTTTATGTGCTTGAATAATGTCTTTTAAATTGAAAAATGAATAAACGCTCCACTGAAATGAAATAGAATTGTCTCTGGAAGGTGTGTCGGAGGAATGCTACGTAGAGCTTGTGTTGGACTGGAGCGCTCTCTGGTCTTGGTGGGGATAAGAGGTGTTTTCTTGCCTAGAAGCTTTCTGCCGCTTCTGTCTCCACCACTGGCTGTGCCAACAGTGGCCCTGACACGGACACTTTAATCCCTGCTTAGGGATTCCCAGAAGGCGGAGTTTTGCATAATAAGTAGTCTTCTGTTAAGGTATTTGTGTGTTCCCGTTTTGGGTATGTACTCCTCCGTCTCCCACCACCCCTCCATCCTGAGGAAGCGCAGTAATACCTGCTCTGGAGCTCTGGTAAACATCGCAAAGACACCTGAGGAAACACTGATTCTTTGGAATATTCTTGCTCAGATGATTTATTTATTCACAGTAGTGGAATATTAATGGTGTCACATGAATGCCTGTGGACACTTGGTGAAGGCTGAGAATCCATTTGTCATTTTGTATTTCTAGTGTATGATCCAGAACAACAGCTTAAGATAAGAAGTTTGCTTTCTGCCCCTGTAGAAGTCCCAGGGCTGGCATTCCAAGGCTGGTGCAGTAGCGCTGTTGGTACGAGATCTCTGGATCCTTTTGTCTTTTTCTTTTGCCTCTCTTAGCAGGTGGGCTGCTGTCCTTAAGCCTCCCTCAAGGTTAGTAATAGGTGCTGCAGCTCCAGCCATCTCCACCAAGTTCTTGGCAGCAGGGAGGAAAAAGAGGCAAAGAAGAATGAGCACATTCCACCTCCTAAATATCTTTCTTTCCTCGAAGCCCCCTCAATGGTTTTTACTTCTGTATATTAGCCACTCCTATTTGCAGGCAAGGCTGGGAAGTGCAGTGTTATAGCTGGGGTTTGGCCATTCCTGACTATTGGGGATTGGCTGTCAAGGAGGGGCCATTGGACTTCGAGGAGGCAGCTATCAGTTTCTGCCATGCCTCTGATCTAGATCTTTCTAAAACATGTCATACCAGATCATATGCTCTGTATGTTTCTTGACTTATGTTAATTATAAGGGGTAAAACTTAGAGGAAATACGTATAAGGAATTCTTGCTGGCCTCTGTAGAATGTGAAATGTGACTTTTGAGGTACTGATTTTCAGTCCTAAGAGAAGCTGCACTCCCAAAGATTAGCAAAACATCTTCTGATGCCAGCTGGAATAAAATGTGTGAATAATCTATCTTCAAATAAGATTTATGTGTGTGTGTTATATAAATCACATATATGCTACAATATCAATTAGAGACAAAGGTAATTTGTAATAAAATGTCTTTTAGTCTATAAATGCCTAAGTATATGCACAATAGAAGAAGAAATTAGATATTCAGATTGTTATCTATGCTGGCCATAGATAAAAAACTGTTGTGAATATAGCAAATGCAGACCGGACACATGTTATACTGGTAACTACAATATTGGCATTATCGCGCTATAACTTTGGAATGGTAAGCGGCTTTTATAAAGTTCCAAAGAAAACCAAGCACTGCCTATTAACGAGATTTGTTTTGATTAACATGGTAATTGCATTCCTGGAAAAATCAGTGTGTTAGAGTGGTCCGAAGAAGAAGGAGAAGGAGGAGGAGGGGGAGGAAGAGGAGAAGAAAGAAGAAGGAGGAGAAGAAAGAACCTTCATGAGTATATGTTAAATGGAGCCTAGCCCCGATAATGAGTGGGACAGGTCTTCATTTAGAGGTGACATCCTGCCTCTTTGGATCCTTCACAATGAGTCCCTTCCTCAGAATCCGTCATGGTGCCTCCCTCTCCAAAGTAATTGTATCAAAAATGTCCATGCAAATTTTAGTGACTCCTGGGGCTGGGGACAAAGGCCTATTTTTAGAAGACTTACATTACCAGTTTTTGTTTTTACATGTGCCTGATACTATGTGGTTTAGTTGGTTCTTTTTTACCTGTCATCTTTGGTTATGTCTCGTTGACTGGTTTCTGCTGAAGTTTTGCTATCTTGATACGTTAGATCAGTTTCACTCTATGAAGGCTGACAACCGGCCTTCATGAGGAATAGTCAGCACCTCCAACCGAGGTCTCAAAATCAGGTCTTAGAAATCAAACACGTTTCCATTCCAGCACAACTTGTAAGCGGATGAAAGGAAATTCATAGGCCTCATGCTGGCCACCATGTTCTGGGTGGCCAGGAGCTTCCTGTGTGGGTCTGTCCCATCTACCTCCTCCTTTGAACCCTGCTTGTATCTGTTAACAAAGCTCTGGTCTGCTGCTTCTCCTAGTAGAAACCATTGAGGCTTTCAGATTCAGAAGTATCTGAGCAGAGAGACCATGCTGATGAGGACTTACGTGAAAAACCCCCTGAAGCACAGCCTTGTTACTTCGTGTGCCGCGTGTCCTTCTTACTGTCTGATCTCATATTTTTTCTACCACATCTGACATAGTCATTCATAAGTCTTAAGAACCACTTAAATTTGAAAAATACATAGTGCTTTTCTTTCCACATTCCACTTTTATCTTTGCTTATTTCCTTGGTTTGTCTGAATGCTTTCACTTAATTGTAATTTGGTAGTTAGCTGCCATAATATAGAAATAACATTGAAATCCCTTTTAAAAATAGCATTTTAATTAAAATATCTTTTAAGCTCATGAATCAAATAAAAACAGCATTTTAAAAGTTTTATTCTGGGGACCCCTGGGTGGCTCAGTCGGTTGGGCGTCTGACTTCGGCTCAGGTCATGATCTCGTGGTCCGTGAGTTCGAGCCCTGCGTCGGGCTCTGTGCTGATAGCTCAGAGCCTGGACCCTGTTTCAGATTCTGTGTCTCCCTCTCTCTCTGACCTTCCCCCATTCATGCTCTGTCTCTCTCTGTCTTTATTCAAAAATGAATAAACGTTAAAAAAAAATAAAATAAAAGTTTTATTCTGTGAAGTAAAATTGTTATCCAGCTACGTCAGAAAGTTTAAGTACATATTTTTTGCCAAGGGCTAGATTATGGATAAATCTTTTTAACTGAAGTTTCAAGATTCTGTTTTAAAACTTTGCTCGACTGTGATTGTTTAATTCTAACATAACCTCTCAAGAGAAAATTACTAATTTAAAATTTTAATTTCGAGATAACCCAGCAATGCAATTTATATCAACTGACTTATACCGTTTAAGGCAAAATAGTATGTTTATTCATCAAGAATGGCATCTCCTAGAATGTTGTATGGAAATGACCATTCTTTTATGTTAAGTCCGTGTTCTACCACGTTTGGTCCTGCAGCATCATCGTTGCAGGACTAATGGATTTACTTTAAATTTTATTTTGTTCTGTACAAAACATGCCAGTGAGTAACATGACGGTCTACCTTTGCGTGTGAGTGTACGCGAGGGTGTCCGCACCCGCACCCGGGACGGGGCTGGGCTCGCGGCCTGGGGAAAGCCGCGAACCTTGGATAATCGCCCGTGTGTTTCGTGGGCAGGTGAGCCAGGACGGGAAGTCGCTCCTCGACAAGCTCCAGCGGCCGCTGACTCCCGGCAGCTCCGACTCCCTGACGGCCTCCGCCAACTACTCCAAGGCGGTGCACCACGTCCTCGACATCATCCACGAGGTGCTGCACCACCAGCGGCAGCTCGAAAACATCTGGCAGCACCGCAAGGTCCGGCTGCACCAGCGGCTGCAGCTCTGTGTCTTCCAGCAGGACGTGCAGCAGGTCAGTTTCAGGTCGTGCTCTTCCGCGTGGGGGGACACGTGGGGGAGTCCCCGCGAGTGCACGTCCTACTGGGCGTGTCCGTGCTGACAGGGTGCCGAGCCGCTACAGACGGGAGGTGGAAGGAAAAGGGTGCACACGCGCGTGCGCACACGCGCTTTTCTCTCCACGAGCGGCCGTGGTTTTGAGAAGGCTCGCTCGGGCTTCTGCCAGCCACCGTCTGACGTCCGCAGAACGTGCGAGGTGGGGCGGGGCCTCGGCTGGAGACTCCCACGGGTGTTCTCGAAACAGGTCATTTCCAGTTCCTTTTATTTGTGAGAATAATGCTGGTGGCGCTTACACCCGGATGCCGGCACGGTTGAGGATTTGTCCGCTCTCTGATTACCTAGGCAGAAAGCTAACGGTGCCTCTCTTCCCGCTTGGTAGATGGTGCGCTTCAGGGTACACAGTATGTGCTCAATAAATAGTTGTCTAGTTGAGGGAAAGTGGAGTTTTAGGACTGTTAATTTCTAAGCAGTTTTCACCTTTTTTGTTGTTATTGTTACAAAAATAACAGTAAGTCTAGTCCCCACACTGGTTGTGCCCTTGTTGTGGAGTAAAGAGGATCGTGCTGCTTCCAGGGTTTTGAGAGTTAAAGCTGTGGTAGCATATAAAATATGATACGGCTTTAGAGATGAACAAGATAAACGCTGTGTCCTTGCCCTAAAACCGAGGGAAGCCAGGGTGTGGATGAGGTGTGGACACGGGGGGTGAGGACTTCGGAGGCACGCGAGGAAGCCTGTGGCATTCAGTGGAGTTGGTGTGATGCCACAGCGATGGGTCTGGAGCAAAACCTCCCTCTCTTCCCTGGGCCCCCGGGAGCGTTGCTCAGACACGTACAGGCTCAGATTTCACTCTTCCCAAGCGTCGTCCGAAGGCCAGTGGGCTGAGGTGGTGGAAAGTCGTGCTGTGTTCTCATGAACACGTAGATTCTCCATGTTTTATTGACCATCGTTCTTCATGTCATGTGAGTCTGGTGAGTTCAGAATACTTTCAATTGCTCTATAATTGAAAATTTTCACATACAACGCTTTGATTCCACTTATGGGTTTTGAGTTCCCTGAAGATTGCATATACCAAGTCTCAGAAACGATCACTTTGATGTTATTCATGCTTCTTGCCAGTGTTATTTTAATCAAAGAGGATAATTGCCAGGGAAAGAATTTAGAGCGAGGAGTGAATAGGGAGGAGTCAATGTCAGGGACTTCTTTGTGCGAACTGAGGTGCTGTGGTCAAAGCATAAATAGTAGCTTCTCCTAATTGTTTAGAAACATTCACCTACCGTGAAATGTTAATAGTTTAAATGTAATCATTAAAGGATTTTCCCCACTCACCTCTCTGTCCCTTGGATCAGGTATTCGTTACCCATCCATGGACCAACATACCTTCCCTGAAGCAGCCCCAGGGGCTCTCCCTCCCGCGTCATCCCCAGCTCTGGTGGCTCCGTGGGGCACCAGACACCTGAGAATAGGCCCCTGGACGGTTTATGGTGGGGGATTTGGGAGGCCCCTTTGGGAAGAGGCTGAGGAGTGTAGCCATCTGATTCGGCACCAGGTACCTGATGCCCTTGAATCTGAAAACAGCAAACATTAAATCTTCTATGTAGAAAGGTAATTATGATAATTATGAGACCAGTTCTTTAAGCTAGATTTTTTTTCTCCAGCGTCAGTAGATCGGGTTGGATGTCAGCAGGGGAAAGTGTTTTGCAATACACATAAGGCATATGTAGTCCTATTAGCATTCCATAGAAAATAGATAATTGCTCTTTAAGGGAAACGTTCTTTTGATAAAATGATCTGGAATGGTCTGGACTTGTTATGCAAACAGGAAATTGCTGTGTAGGCTTGACTTGTGGAGCACGAAGTAGAGTTGATAAGATTAAGCAAAGCAAGCACTTTTACCTGGAAGGCGTTGTATGATGTCAGAACCAGAATGTGTTTCTGAAATTCCAGCAGTTACAACACGTGGACATTGTTGCTATATTGAGCAAGCAGTAGGAGAGGTAAGCTGAGAATAAATGGGAAAAAAATAGTAGTCCTTTAGAAGGCGCTGTCAGCAGAAGGTAAATGTGTAAAGATGAAAAACAAAATCCGTAAAAGCGTAAGCGAGTTAGATACCACAAGTGGTTTTTGCTTGGTTGTTTTGAGTGATGAAAAAGCATCTGTAAATACTGCTGAGAGATAAAAAGAGCAGCTAACTGCACAATAGGTGTGGAATGATGCTATTTTTTTATGGAAACAATCCTCTAAAACAGCCCTTTGAAAGAGTTTGGAAAATATTTGAAACAGAAACCAGACTGTCAACAGCGTGTTCTCAAGGAAGGGCAGGGGGACAGTGGGCATGGGGAGTTTGGTCTTTAAAACATGAATAATTTTGGGTTAGTGGCTAGCTGTTTTTGTAATAAGCCAAGGGAATTGGGTAATTCCTGTATGGAAGGTGTTTCAGGTACCCAGGCGCTGAGGTGCGGGGAGGTGAAGCTACCGTAGCCTGGCCCCCACCACTTGTCCAGTCAGAGAATGGAGGAGAGGGCTAGGGTGAGGTCAGATGCACATGCTAGCTGCTGACAGGGAGAAACCTTTGTCATTATTAACCTAAAAATAAAAGAAGGGGCACCTGGGTGGCTCAGTCGGTCGAGCATCTGTCTCTTGATTTTGGCTCAGGTCACGATCCCAGGGTATCCAGCCTCACATCAGGCCCCACATCACTGAGTGGGGAGCCTGCTTAAGGTTCTCTTTCTCTCTCTCTCTCTCTCTCTTTCCCTTTCCCGCTGCCCCTGTCCCCCACTCACACTCTCTCAATCTCTCTCTCTAAAAATTAAATGAAAAATGAAATCAGTACTCGGCCACATTTCATGATGAGCAAGTAACACATGTATTCTGTCGCCTCACGTTTCCCATTAGAGTGACCCTCAGGATGGTTGGTTGATGGATGGTTGTGTTACTGCTGACCAGTGTTCTTAAGGGTCGGGTACGCTTTAGTTTGCTCTAAACAAGGTCGTTTTTGCTGTGTTTGTTCAAATGGGATGTTGGTGGTGGAAGGATGTGGTGTGCTCTCAGCCCCCTTGTCCTGCTCACTGTCACCCCGCCTGCCTTTTGGATTGGTGCCATTTAGCGACTCCAACAAGTTGGATGAGGTGAATGGGCCCAGAACTTTCCTGAAGCAGGCTGTCCTCCCCAAAGAGGCCCCGGAGGTGGAGACATCTCCTAAAAAACTGCCTGCTCCCGTCCACGTGGTCAGTAGCCCTTTCTGTGTGTTGTGTGAGCATTACCCCCTCTGAGTTATTTCTTGGAAGGACTCCCTGCAGGTTGATGTGGGGCCATTAGTGAATATTCTGAGAAAACGATGAAGCAAATCTAGTCTCTTCTGGATTCTTGTCATCCACATTTCATTCTTCTTTTCAAAATCTCTTAATCTAACACGTGACACTCAGAGATACAGAGGTAACTGTTGGATGGGTTGAAGCTCCTTTTCTTGAGGAATCATAGTCCAGTGAGAGCCGACCTTTTGGTAGCCTGATAGATCATATCATAGCATGCTCAGATTTAGTGTCGTGTGTCTGGTTATCGTCAGGTGTAATTTTGCTAAGGCGTAAATGTGAGTCCTGCCTACGAAAGTGTTAGCTGGAGTGGGGAGTAAATGCAGCTAGCCACCCTCATGCATGTTATCTGCCTGCCTTGCACTTGCATTTTAAGGGTGAATGTCTATGCTTTAATGATTCGTGCAGATGTGGGGGTTCCAGGGAGCTTTGTCCATGTCTGTCTCAAACGTCAAGGGTCTGGCATAGAGGGAAGATGAAGAGTCCTGTAATAGAGATGCGAGTAACCGTTGCCTGGGTACCATGACAGTCTTCACGGGAGAGGTGGGGTTTGAGCTGATCCTTGAAGGATAGGTTAGAAAGTCCGTAGGCCGAGGGTTGGGCAGCGGGAACTGCAGTGAGATCAGAGATGTAGAAGGGCATGGCCTGTGCAGAGAGCAGCTGGGTGTGGGTGGAGTGGAGTGGTGTGGAGGTGTGAGAAGGGGCAGGTGCTGGAAAGGTGACCTCATGATGACAGCTTGGGACTTGTTTCTGTAAGCTGTGGGACGCCAGTGAAGGGATACAGTGGACCTTGGCTGACTGCTGTAAATTGATGCCAGGGCCTGAAGTGACTTGTGAGTGGCCGTGAGGCTTACGCGAGGGGCACCTGTGTGTTTTTCCCCTCTTACTGCTCACAGCCACCTGTTGAGCTAATGCTCTCCCCGCTTCACTGAGTTCACAGCAGGAAGGGCCCATGTGCTGTGCACTTGAACTTGATGCTGTGGGCAGTGGGGGGTGGATGACATGATCCTGCATGTGTTAGAAAGATCGGCCTGGTTGCAGTGTGGTGAGCAAGTTGGAGGGAGCGAGACTCCAGTTGAGGGACAGGGTAGGTCCTATTGTGGACATCCAAGCAAGTCACGTAGAACTCCTAGCGAGCAGAAGTGTTAAGTCCATGGGCCAGCGATCTACATTTTATTCACTGGTGTTTCCTAAGTGTCTGGGATACAGTTTGGTATTTGTTGAATGAGTGAATGAGTGGGCAGATGAAGAAACTTAAGGAATTACCCAGTTTTGCTAATTAAAGATTCTTTGGGGTTAAAAGTTTGTTCATTTATTCTGGAACGGGTGAGGATTGGCCTTATATTGGAACCAAGTGATCTAACCAGAAGATCTGCTTGAAGGAGCAGGAGCTTTGCTTGATAGTGAGAACTTGGGAGTGGCTGAGGAAGTACATGGGAATTCTGCTAATGTGGTGAGGTCTCCAGTAAAGATTTTGGCCACTTGAATGCAAAATGGGGATCTTGAATGCAGCAAGTTGGGGAAATCAGGACATGCCATAAAGACAAAGAAAGAGGTTTCAGGTCTGCAGAGAAGCTATTTTACTGGTTTGCCTTGGGTCTTTGGCTGCTATCCTTCTGCCAGTACAAGCCATCTTATTGTGAAGCTT